CTAAACCTAATCCTAACCCTTAACCTAACCCTAAACCTAACCCTAACCCTTAACCTAACCCTTAACCTAACACTAACCCTAACCTAACACTAACCCTAAACCTAACCCTAACCCTAGCCCTTAAACTAATCCTAACCCTAAACCTAACCCTAAACCTAACCCTAAACCTAACCCTTACCTTAACTTGAATCGGCTTGCTTTCAAAGCGCTATTTAAAGCGCCCTTCTTTCTCCGCGCTCGCTGTTGTCGCCCTGTTGATGATGTCAGCGACGCGGTTTAATCAGGCGCGCTTTAGTCGAGCGCGCTTTTGTCATGCCACGGAGTAGAGTAGAGTAGAGTGGAATGGAATTTTCACTACCGGTTTGTGCAAACCAGTCTGAACTGACTGAATACCACCTCTGGTCATAAGTGTGAAAAACAGTTATCAGTCGCTTTTTTCAGTGCCGTTGCAGCTTTGAATGGTCACTAAATGAACTGTTGTAAGTCAAGGACTACCTGCAATGTGCTCCAGCACCTGCCACTTGTAAAACCGTTTACTATGTCTGAGCTCCTTTGCAAACAAGAGGTGTTAGTTTTGACTTACCTTGCATTTTGCTGGGCGGAGATGAGCTGGGTTGAGTGTGGTGAGGTGACCCATGGGACAGCAAGAGGTTCATGGTGTGAGGCTGACCCGTGCTGTAGGCATCCATGGCGAGTTTTTGCCGAAAAGCTTCTTCTTTCCTCCGGTTTGCAAACCAGTTGTAGACGCGGACTTCTGTGACCAGATTTGAACCCAAGCCATGTGCTTTAGAGGGCGACACACCCCGCTGGAGGCATTCTGCCCTAGAGGAGAAAATTAAGAAAATTCCTAGATAGAAAAGGGTTTGTTCCGACCCCGATGTTGGACTAACACAGGAGGAGAACTTGCTAAGAAGATCACCGGGCTAAAAATTTGGTCGGGCTAGTTCGGGGTCGGCAAGCTAAAACACTCAAAGAGCCACAAAGGTCCTAACCGTTGAACCCCATTCAATTCTGGAGCCAACCAGAAGTCCAGTTCCCCCACCATAGAGTCTCCTCCTAGCGCAGCATCCTTTTTCCTCTTCCTGTCTTAACCGAAAGCCCTATCAATTGTGGAGCTGACCAGAAAATCCGCCCTTTGCCATAGAGTCTCCTGCTGGCGTGCCCTGCTTACCACCACCCCCAAAACGGAAGCTCCTCTCAAAATTGTGGTGCCAACTGGCGACAGGGAGCCGCAGCAGAGGGATGAAAAAGCCACATGCAGCTCCGGAGCCGCAGGTTGCTGACTCCTGGTCTAGCTCAATATTGTTATTCTGATTTGAAGCAACTCTCTATGACTTTTGGCCAAAAAAGAAAAGCCTAAAAAAGAATATAGGCATTGAATTAGGAATTATGTGTATGCAAAGAGACGCTTTACCCCTAAGGTCCTGTCTTCACATCACCAGGACTGCAATAACAGAATTCTGTAAGAATTTTTACATATTGTGTCCTCATGGTACTGGTTTTCTTCTCATCCTCAGTTCATCGCTGAAGCAGATGGGCTAACATTTATTTTATTTAAATATGGAAGTCAGGGTACTTCATTAAAGCACAGCGCTCAAGATTTATTCTATTTATTTATTTTTATTCAAACTTTATTATTTTTTTACTAACCAAAGAATGGCGAACATGTCTAAAACTCCTTGCTTTGCCTATTTTCCGCAAAACAACAATCCTGTGAGGTTGGTTGGGCTGAAAGAGGGACTGGCCCTAAGACACCTAGCTCGCTTTCAAGCCTAAGGCGGGACTGGAACTTGCCATCTCCTGGTGATTTACAAGGGTGATTTGTAAAAAGTAATTTATGATCAGTCCTGGCACTTACAACCATGAGTAAGTGCTAGGTTTTTGGCAAAACTGACAAAAAAACGAGCTCTTGTGATCGCAGGATTGTGCAAAGAATCATAAATGTGGATGTTTTGCCAAGTGCCCAAAATTCAGTCCCCTGACCATGGAAAGGACCCAATTGAAAGAGGAGAGGAGAGAGAAGAGTTGTGGGGTAGAAAGAAGACAGAAGAGAGAAAAGAGAAAGGGAGAAAGGAGAGAGAGAGCAGAGAGAGAAGAAAGAAGAGAGAGAGAAGAGAATGAGAGAGAGGAGAAAGAAAGAGGAGAGAAATAATAGAGAGGAGAGAGAAAAGAGAGAGAAAGAGGAGAGAAGTAAGAGAGAGAGGAGAGAGAGAGAAGAGAGGGGGGAGAAGAGGGAAGAGAGAAAGGAGAGAGAAGAGAAAGAGGAGAGAAGAAAGAGGGAGAAGAGAGAAAGGAGACAGAAGAGAGAAAGAGAGAGAAGAGAGAAGAGAGAAAGAGGTGAGAAGAGAGAGAGAGAAGAGAGAGAGGAGAGATGAGAGAAAGGAGAAAGACAGAAGAAAGAAAGAGAGAGAAGAGAGAAAGGAGAGAGACAGAAGAGAGAAAGAGAGAAGAAAAAAGAGGAGAGAAGAGAGAGAGAGANTTCTTATTTTCCTCCACAAAAACTAAGGTGCATCTTATACTCCAGAGCGTCTATGCCAAAAAATACAGTAAGTGTAGAGCAGGAAATAGCCCCTCTCATTCTCTTCCTTTCTACACTGAAAACCCCAAATGTCCAACCTTTCCATAGAAAAGCCACTTTCACCTTAGCTGACCTCCTCTGAACTTTCTCCAGCTCCACGCTCTCCTTTTGGAGGTACAGACATACTAGCACAGATAATGCAGACTTGATTTATGACCATAAATGGAGTCTACCCATCACATTTGTAAGTCATGATATAAAAATCATCAATAGCAATAGCACTGACACTAATTCATAGTGCTTTACAGCTCTCTCTAAGTGATTCACAAAGTCAACGTATTTCACCCAACAATATATTGCCCCTAACCATCTGGGTCCTCATTTTACCGACCTTGGAAGGATGGAAGGCTAAATCAACCTTGAGCCCGACAGGATTGAACTCCTGGCAGGGGACAGAGTTCGCCTGCAATACTGCATTCTAACCTGTGCACCAATAGGGTCTCCATTCACTGAATGTTATGGTCCTTAAGCAAACCAATGGTTCAGCAGGGGCATAGTTTTTGCTGAAAACTCAAAGTAAATGCTGGTTTTACGTGCTCACGTGAACATGGGGCGCTGCAAACAGCTGTAAGTGTGGTCATGCTACTGAGTTCAGTCATGAGACTGGGGGATGGGGGAGAGGGTGAGTACAGCAACTGCCAGAACCTCAGGTTCATTATAACAGAGTAGAGGAAGGTAGGATAGGGTAGAGTAAAGTAGAGAGTGGAGTGGAGTTGAGTATGGTAGGGTAGAGTAGAGTAGGGAGTGAAGTGGAGTAAAGTGGTGGAGTGGAGTGGGGTAGGGTGGGGTAGAGTAGAGTAGGGAGTGGAGTGGTGTGGAGTAGTGGAGTAGAGTAGGGTAGAGTAGAGTAGAGTAGAGGAGAGAGTGGAGTGAAGTGGAGTAGAGTAGACTAGAATAGAGAGTGGAGTGGGGTGGGGTGGGGTGGGGTAGAGGAGGGTAGGGTAGGGTAGATTAGAGTAAAGTAGAGAGTGGAGTGGTGGAGTGGGGTATGGTAGAGTAGGGTAGAGTAGAGTAGGGAGTGGAGTAGAGTGGAGTGGAGTGGTGGAGTGGAGTGTGGTAGGGTAGGATAGGGTAGGGTGGGGTGGGCTAGGGTAGAGTAGAGTAGAGAGTGGGGTGGAGTGGAGTGGTGGAGTGGAGTGGAGTGGAGTCCGGTGGGGTAGGGTAGAGTAGAGTAAAGAGTGGAGTGAAGTGGAGTAGAGTAGAATAGAGAGTGGAGTGGTGGAGTGGGGTGGGGTGGGGTAGAGGAGGGTAGCATAGGGTAGAGTAGAGTAAAGTAGAGAGTGGAGTGAGTGGTGGAGTGGGATATGGTAGAGTAGGGTAGAGTAGAGTAGGGAGTGAAGTGGGAGTGGAGTGGTGGAGTGGGGTATGGTAGAGTAGGGTAGAGTAGAGTAGGGAGTGGAGTAGAGTGGAGTGGAGTGGT